AGAATTTTTTATATGGTTTCTTTGACACTTTTTTCTAAATTTTATTCAGGAGTTCTGTTGGTGGTGGTCCATCTTGGATTAGTGTCTTCTAGTGTCTAAGGCAATAGTGAGTAGTTTCTTCACCTTGCTAGAAGTCACTTTAGGCCCAGAACTTTAAGCAGAGACAGAACTTTTCAAGTTAAGTCTTCCTTGAGGTGCATAAATTTGGCAGTTGGAATTCCCTAGCACCCATAAATGTATATGTCTGTATTATTGCTATTGTTATGTTGCCACTGAGTAGATTCCAACTCAGGACAACCCCATGTGTGCCCAATAGAACTGCTCCATAGGAGCTCTAACCTTTCATCAGGTCACCCAGCCTGTCATCTGGCCAATCTTTCATCTAGCAGTTGAGTGCATAATCATTTTCATCACCCAGGGACTCCAGTTGTATATTGCTGTTGTTAAGGGTTGTCAAGTTGGTTCCAAATCATAGTGACTTGTATAGGGTTTCTGCAGCTTTAAATCATAATGGAAGCAGAAACCCTCTTCTTTCTTCCATGGAACAGCTAGCAGGCTAAGATGGAGGACCTTGTGGTTCACAGTCCAGTGTTTATTGTATGGACAGACCATGCTTCCCAGTTGTATATTGTTGTTAAGTGCTGTAGAGTTGGCTATAACACATAGAAACCCTGTATAGAGTTTATAAGGAATGGCTGGTGAGCTTGCACCCCCTACCTTGTGGTTCACACTGATCTTGCAGTTCAGCATATTAACTCACACCACCACAGATATTTAATTGAGTTTGTTGTAGTTGTTAAGTGCTGTTGAGTTGATTCTGACTCATAGCAAACCTGTATAGGGTTTCTGAGAAGTGGCTGGTGGGCTTGAACCACTGACCTTGAAGTTCAAACTGACCTTGCAGCCCAGTGCATTAATCCACAGCAAAATGTCTGTGAACTATATGTAAATAAAGGACTTTTTGAAGGAAGTGTTACATGACTTTGTGCTGAACCCCTACTATCAATAAAATGGCTCTCAGAAAACTTTGTTGTTGTTAAGTGCCATCAAGTCAATTCTGATGAATAGATTTCCTGTATAGGGCTTCTGAGGATTGGCTGGTGGCTTTGAACCACTATTCTTATAGTTATCAGTCCAGTGCTAATCCTATAGCAATGCAAGCAGACTCACTTGCTGTTGTTAAGTGTTGTCAACTTGGTTCCGATTCATAGTGACCCAATACAGGTGGGTTTGAACTGAAGACCGTATGGTTAGCAGGCCAGTGCTTATCCTACAGTGGCATACCTCTGATGTCAAGTTGGCAGGCACGGGTGTCACCATTGCAAACATGTCTTTCCTGATTCCCTTTTCACAAAATAAAGAAACAGCTTGTTCATTTTATTTCAGCAAGTAAGAAGCACTTTTCATATGTAAGATACTGGCACGGTACTGGGAATATGTAGTATGGTGCTCACAACCATTTATGAACAACCACTAAACTAGAAAATTCCACCAAATTCTTCAGTATGAAATTGATAAAGCATGCAATCAAGATTTATTAATAATTACTGTTTATTGGAATGCAAAGTTTGGATGAAAACAAAGAGGAAAGCTCAGTATTTAGAAAATATAGCCTTAGTGATAGAAATGATGCTGGAGATAGCATGATAGAATTTTCAAGACTAATGACTTGCTCATAACAAATACCTTTTTTAAAAAGACGATTATACACACAGCTCATACCAGATAAAATACACAAAAATCAAATTGACCACATCTGTGGGAAAAGATGGTGAAAATCTTATTATCAGCCAAAATAAGGCCAGAGGCAGACTGTGAAACAGATCATCAATTTCTTATAAGTTCAGGATAAAGCTGAAGAAAATTCAAACAAGTCCAAAAGAGCCAAAATATGACCTTGAGTATATCACACCTGAATTTAGAGATCATCTCAAGGACATATTTGATGTATTAAACACTAGTGATTGAAGATCAGAAGAATTGTGAGATGATTTCAAGAACATCATATAGGAAGAAAGAAAAGAGTCATTAAGGAGACAAGAAAGAAGGAAAAGATAAAAAGGAAACACTGAAACTTGCTTTCCAGCATAGAGATGCAAATGGAAAAATGAGGAGGTAAAATAACTGAACAGAAAAATTCAAAGGGCAGCTCCAGAAAACAAAGTCTAATATTGACAATGTCAAGCATTCTAATGAAATGTGCAAAGATGTATAGTTAGAAAATCCAAAAGGAAGAACACACTTAGCATTTCTCAAGCTCGAAGCATTGAATAAAAAATTCAAGCCTCCACTTGAAATACTGAAGGATTTTATGGGCAAATATTGAATGATGCAGAAAGCATCAAAAGAAGATGGAAGGAAAACACATAGTCACTGTACCAAAAAGAAATGGTCAATGTACAACAGTTTCAAAAGGCAGCAATAGTACTGAAGGAAGACGTCCAAGGTGCAATGAAGGTTTGGCAAAGACCAAGTCTCCAGAAACTGATGGAGTAAATTTGGAATCTTTGAAAAAACTAATGCAACACTGAAGCCATTCACTCATCTGTGACAAGAATTTTGGAAGACCTGGCCAACTGATTGGAAGATATTCCTATTTGTGCCAATTCCAATGATAGGTGACCCAATACAATGTGGAAATCATCAGACAATATCATTAATATCACATGCAAGTAAAATTTTGCTGAAGGTATTTTTAAAAAATGGAAGTGTCAGAAGAAGTTCAAGTTAGATTCAAAAGAAGATATGGAATGAGGAGTATCACTTCTGATGTCAGATGGATCTTGGCTGGAAGCAGAGAATACAAGATGCTAACCTGTGCTATATTGAACACACAAAGGCTTTTGACTGTGTGAATCATGACAAATGATAAACGTCATTGCGAATAATGGGTATTGCAGAACAATTAACAACTATCACAAGGAACTTGTACATCAACCTAAAGGCCATCGTTTTAACAAAACAAGGGGGCACTTAATGGTTTAAAATCAGGGAAGTGTGTGCCAGAGTTATATTCTTTCAGCATATTTATTCAGTTTGTATACTAAGCAAATAATTCAAAAAGCTGGATTCTAAGAAGAAGAATGTGGCATCAGGATTGGAAGAAGACTCATCAACAAGGTGCAATATGCAGATGACACAACCTTGCTTGCCGAAACAAAGATAAATACTTACTGATGATCAAATAAAACAGCTTTCAATATGAATTTCACCTCAATGTAAAGAATACAGAAATCCTCATAACTGGACCAATAAATAACATAATGACAAATGTAGAAAAATTGAAGTTGTCAAAGCCTACATTTTGCTTGGATCCACTATCAACTCTCAGGAAAGCAGCAGTCAAGAAATTAAACAACGTGTTGCATTCTGTATATCTACTGCACAAGACCTCTTTAAAGTGTTCAAAAACAATGATGTTGGTTTAAGAACTAAGGTTGATTGACCCAAGTCTTCGTATTTTAAAAAGCTTCATATGCATGAAAAAGTACCTGATGTGGTGCTGTAGGACAAACACAGGGTCATACGGTTGGTTTGAATTGCCGCTCTTCAGAAACCCTATACAGGGTCCAGATGAGTCAGAAATGACTTGACTACACTTAACGACAACATTCATGTGAAAATTGACCAGTGACAAGGTAGACCACAGAAGAATTGATGCATTCGAGTTACAACGTTGGAGAAGAATATTAAAAGTACCATGGACTTCCAGAAGAACAAATCTGTGTTGGACAAAGTACAGCCAGAATGCTCTTTAGAAGCCAGGGTAGTGAAACCTTGTCTCTTTTTGGACATATTAGCAGGAACCTGCCCCTGGAGAAGGACACTGTGCTTGTAAAAGTGGAGGGTAAGAAAGAAGAGGAATATCCTCATCCCCAATAAGATGAACTATACAATGAAGGCAGCAATGGACTTAAGGGTAACAATGATTGTGAATATGACATTGTGTTTTGTTCTGCCTAGGGCAAGACTGATTTCTTGACTGCCAATTTCAGTGAAAGTTAATAATGAATCCAAGCAAAATGAAGCATTTGACAACTTCAGTCTTTTCTTCATTTGTCATGATGTTATTTATTGGTCCAGTTGTGAGGATTTCTGTTTTCTTCATATTGTGGTGAATCCATACTGTGCATAGGGTCTCTATGAGTTGGATTGACCCTACAGAACCTAAAAATAACAACACTGTTTATGAAAACAAATAACACAAAAACACAAACCAATAAATAAAAGGAAAGGAAGCCAAACTCTGCATTACCCTTTTACTCATCCTAAATTTTCTTAGGAGCCAGGTACATTTTTATATTTAAATTTCACAGTTAAGTAAGAAAGCCAGATATGGTAGAAGAAAATTCTGAATAAATAAAACCATTTATCTATGTAGTGGAAAGTCCACAATAGCTGTGAGTCCAGTATAGAAAACATTGGCTTTGGATTCAGGCAGGTCTGTCCTTGACTCTCTAATACACTATTAGCTGTTATGACTTTTGACAAATTAGTTACCTCAGTTTTTTAACCTGTAAATTGAGGATAATAACATTGACCCCCTGGATCATGGAATAAGCAGGAAAATGCTAGCACAACGTCATTTGTTCAAACCCACCAGCCACCACTGAAAATCCCATACAGGGTCATTATGAGTGGGAACCAACTCAATGGCATGCCACTTAACAATAACAACAATAGATGATTGGAAACCTGGTGTTGTAGTGGGGTACATGTTTGGCTGTTAATTACAGGATTGGTGGTTCAAATACACCAATGGCTCCATGGGAGAAAGAAGAGGCATTCTGTTCCTGTAGAGACTTACATCCTTGGAAACCCTATTCAGGGTCACTATGAGTCAGAACCTACTGGATGGCACAAAACAATAGGTACTGACAATATAATAGGCTCATTAACTTTTTTTTTTGGTGTCCTTTCATTTGCCATGAATTGTTCACCAGAAATTCAGCTTATAATCATTATGGAACCTGGGGTGCTACCATGATACGGCTTCATACCTCAAAGTTGACAGCATTCAGATTGGCTGGGACACGGTACGGATTACTTGCTCTACTGCTTTTGACAGTTTTACATATTCCTCCATTGAAAGAGTTATCAAGGACTTCTCCTCTGGGCTCTCCTGCCAGAAAATGAAACCTAGAAACAAAGTAATTTTCAAGAGTTCAATAGTTGTAGAGCAATCTTTAAAACTTATCTTAGTCATATAAAATGAATTCTTCTCCTAGGAAGTTTTGACTCATGACAGATGACTGGAAAGAAAACACTTTTTTTTTTTTTTCCTAGCTCATGGTAAGGTATACAAAGTGGTTTAGAATCCCAAAATTAGACCTCCTGGCTCTATTGCCCCATACGATTTCCTAGGCTGTAAAGCTTTATGGGAGCTGATCATCACTCTTTATGGGAACAGATCATTAATCTAATATCATGGGTTGGATTCAAATCATTAATCTTTAGTTAGCATTTGGGAACTTAATCATTGCTCCACCAGTGCTAGCTCTGTTCATGTTCTCATTATTTGTCTAAGTTAATTATTCTGAGCTTTCAATAGATATGAAATAAAAATTCATGTGTATAATTATTTCATTACTTACAAATTCAGTATAAGCGTTAGAAGAAAATTAGGAAATAAATTATTACAATATCATTATCATTCAGGTTCCACCTCCTTGAACAGATGCAGTTAAGGAATTCTGATAAATAATTAATAATGAAATATTTTAGAATGTTATAATTACATTATTGTTTTTACTAATTGTTGTTGTTGCTGTTAGATGCCACCAAGTCAGTAGCAACTAATAGGGACCCTATGCACAACAGAATGAAACACTGTCTGGTCCTGTGCCAGCCTCATATTTGTTATTATGCTTGAGCTCATTGCTGCTGACACTGTGCCAATCCATTTCTTTGGAGGTCTTTCTCTTTGATCCTCCACTTTACCAAACATGACATCCTTTTCCAGTAACTAGTCCATCCTGACAACATGTCTGAAGTATGAGAGATGAAGTCTGGCCATCCTGGCTTCCAAGGAACACTCTCACTGTACTTCTTCTAACACAGATCTGTTTGTTCTTTTGACAGTTCGTGGTACTGTCAATATTCTCCTCCAACACCATAACTCAAATGCGTCAATTCTTTTATGATCTCATTCACTGTCCAACTTTTGAATGCTTATGAGGTTATTGAAAATACCATGGCTTGGGTCAGGTGCACCTTAGTCCTCAAACTGATATATTTGCTCTTTCACACTTTAAAGAAATCTTGTGCAGAAGATTTGTCTAATGTAATTTGTCATTTGATTTATTGACTGCTGGTTCCATGAGTGTTGATGGTTGATCTGAAAAAAAAAAAAAAAAGAGAATTATTTGACATCTTCAATCTTTTCTCCATTTATCTGATGTTGTTTATTCGTCCAGTTGTGAAGACTTTTGTTTTCTTTACACTGAGGTACAATCAATACTAAAAGTTATGGCCTTTGATCTACATCAGTAAGAATTTTAAGTCCTCTTCACTTTCAGCAAGCAAGGTCAGCAAATGGCAGGTTGTTAATGAGTCTTCAGACAATACCGATGCCATTTTCTTCTTAATATAATCCAGCTTCTCAGATAATTTGCTCACTATGCAATCGAATAACTATAGCGAAAGAATAAAGCTTTGGGACACACCATTCCTGATTTAAAACATTCAGGCTTGGACCATTGGCTGGTCTGTTAATGTATGTTTGCAGCCATTTATTAATTTTCTTTAACAAGATTTTACTTGAAAGTGATGTTGGTGATATTGTCCAATGATTTTCACATTCTGTTGGGTCACTTCTGTTTGGAATGGTAATACATATGGATTTCTTCCAGGAGGGACCAGGTAGCTGTTTTCCAAATTTTTTGGCACAGATGAGTGAGTGCCTCTAATGCTGTGTCACTTTGTTGAAAGATTTAAATTTATTTCCCATCAATTCTTTGATGATTCTTACCATTGCCTCAGTTCAGCTTGGACAGCTTCCTTCAGTACCAAGCTCATTTGGTGAATCTTGAAATGGCTGAATATTGGCCAGTCCTTTTTATTATAGTGACTCTGCACATCTTCCATCTTCTTTTCATGCTTTCTGCATCTATGCCAAAAAGTTTGGAAAACAGCTATCTGGTCACTAACTGGAGGAGATCCATATTTATTCCATCAATTCTCAAAGCCTTGTTCTTTGCCAATTCCTTCAATGTACCTTGGATTTCTTCTTTCAGGATCATTGGCTCTTGATCATATGCTACTTTTTGAATTGTTTGAACATCAACCATTTCCTTTTGGTGCAGTTACTTTGTGTATTCCTACCATCTTCTTTTGATGCTTTCTGCATCATTTAGTAATTTCCCCAGAGAATCCTTCAATAACAAAAGCCGAGGCTTGAATTTTTACTTCAGTTCACTTAGCTTGAGAAATGATGAATGAGTTCTTCCCTTTTGGTGTTCTAGCTTCAGGTCTTTGCACGCCTCATTGACTTTGACGTCAGATGATCTCTAAATTCAGGTGGGATATATCCAAGATCATATTTTGGCTCTCATGAACTTATTTACATTTTCATCAGCTTCAGTTTGAATTTGAAAATGAGCAATTGATGGTCTGTTCTACAATCTACCCTGGGCCTTGTTTTGGCTGATAATATGGAGCTTTTCCACTGTCTCTTTCTAGAGATGCAGTCAATTTGATTTCTGAGAATTCCATCTGGTGAGGTCCATGTGTATAGTCATCTTTTATGTTGTTTAAAAAAGGTATTTGAAATGAAGAAATCATTGGTCTTGAAAAATTCTATCATGCGATCTCCAGCATCATTTCTATCAACAAGGCCATATTTTCCAACCACTAATCCTTCTTCTTTGTTTCCAACTTTTTCATTCCAATTGTCAGTGACTATCACTAAATCTTGATTGCATGGTTGATCAATTAGAGACTGAAGAAGTTGGTAGAATTCTTCAATTTCATTGTCATTGGCTTTAGTGGCTGGTGCATATATTTTAATAATAGTGGTATTAACTGATTTCTCTGTAGATGCATGAATATTATCCTATCACAGACAGTGTTGTAGCTCATGACAAATCTTGATATGTTCTTTCTGATGATAATTGTGATGTCACTTCTCTTCAATTTGTCATTCCCGGCATAGTAAACCATGTGATTGTCAGATTCAAAATGGTAAATACCAGTTAATTTCAGTCCACTCATGCCTAGGATATTGATGTTTATGTATTCCATGTTACTTAGTGTGAAATATCATCTCAATTTGTTTTGTTATTTAATTTCCCCAATAACTAACAATGTTGAGTATCTCTTTCATGCACTTATGCCTTTGTATATCTTTTTATATAAATGTCTAAACAGCTCCTCTACCCTTTTATTAATTCTATTATATATCTTATTATTGACTTCTGAGAATTCTTTATGTTGTTTGGATGTATGACTTTTTGTCAGATATATGATTGTAAATATTGCTTCCCATTATATGAGATTTTTACTTTCATAATGGTGTTCTTCAGAGTACAGATATTTTTAATTCTAATGAGGTATGTAAATGTATTATTTTATTTTATTACATGTGTGTTTTATGTCATATCTAAGAAGGTATTGCCTAATTTAAACCAGGGAGATTTCCTCCATTAATTTTTTGTTTTGTTTTATAATTTTAGCTTTTACATCTGAGTTATGGTCTATTTTTAGTTAATATTTGTTAAGGTGTGAGAGAGGAGTCCAATTTTATTATTTTGCATGTGGATAAGGGTTATTCTATAATCATTATTGAAATGATTATTCTTGGTATCCTTGTCAAAATCAAATTTTGTTCCATTGATCCAGATTCTATACTTGTAACAGTACCACATTGTTTAATTTATTATAATTTGGAAGCAAATCAGTAAGTATAAGTCTTTCATCCTTGGTCTTATTTCTCAAGATTAATTTGACTATTCTGGGTCTCATAGATTTCTAAGTTCTGTTTTGGAGAAATGCCATCTTAAAAAGGAGAGTCATTTAGAAAGTCGCTTTTTAAAAAAAACAACACAAAAGCTTTTTATTGTAATTTGAGTGAAAAACTACAGAACAAAACATCAGTATTACATTTAACAAACCATATACTTCATTTTATCTCAGTGATTCTAATCTCTTCAATGCAACATCACTTAACCTACTTCCTCCCTGTGTTTGTCACCTCCATTCCTCCATCCCTCTCAACTCATCTGAACTTAATCCTTGAGCAAATGCTGCCCTGTTGGTCTTGAATGTTTGACCATTCTGTAGTGTGTGCACCTTATTAGTGTTGTTTTCTCTCTCTGGACCTATCCATAGCTTGGTTGAAAATTGGGTCATGGCGGTGATTCCAGTTCTAGACCTGAAGGATGATCAAGGGCCATGGTTTCAGGTTCCTCCAGTGTCTAACAGAAGAGAAAGCATAGTCTTTTACTTATGAGTTTGAGTTTTGTTCTATATTTTCTTCCACTCAATCCAGGACCTTCAAATATGATCCCTTTTCAGAATAAGTAGTAGTGGAAATTATGCCTTATCTAGCTTTTCTGGTCTTAGGGTCATGGAGACTGTTGTTCAGGTGGTCCATTAGTCTACTGGACTAATTATTTACAATTGTCTTCAATGTTTATTACTCTTATTTCCTCCAGACAGGGAGAGACCAATAATTGCACCTTAGATGGCAGCTTATGAGCACTTTATATCTCAGTCATAGGAAGCCACATTTTGTGGGTGGAAATGTATTGCTGAAGGCAAGGATTCTAAACTCAGAAGATTAATAAACAGATTCCAGTAAGCAGTTCTCAAGTCTCTCAGTCCCTGTGGAGGCAAGAAGAGGACTGGTTGTCCTTGCGTCAGCAGGTTTTACTAATTTCTGAGAATCCTTGCAACAACCACTCTACTTGGCATAAGACCACGTGCTTCTGCCAAAGTACACACAGAATGTGGTCCTCACTATCTGTAATTTTAGAGTCTAGACCAGCTGGGTAAGAGGTGACTGTAATGTTACCTCTCATCAGTCAGAACATTGAAAGACATGACTGTCAGTGCAAGAGCTGAGGATTCCTTCCAGGGAGAGGAAAAGAAGGAACTATTTCTGCATTGATAAGAAGGTGATATTGAAGAATTCTCATCATAATCAGCCCTAATAAAGATTTAAAAATATAAAACCTGAAATCAGTTTGTTCAAAATACTTATGAAGATACTGTGGCTCAGACATGTTAAATAGCTTGGATATGCTGTAGTGAGTTAATGCAGAAGTAGGACTACTTTTTACTTTTACATGAATGGTTATTCCATTTTACTGGTTGTTTCCATTTATTTGGTTCAATAGTTTGTGGTTTTTGTTTTAAACCAATGAGACTGAATTTTCAACTGCTGATGTTTACATTTGGTGCTTCAACTCAGGCAGAATAAGTAAATAATTAAACTTTGTAAAACTCCAATATGAAACAATAGAAACCAATAGCGAACTACCTAACTTCTGGCTAAAAAATTAAAGAAAATATCTTTATCACAGGCAGAGGAAGGCACAGACGTTGTCTTTTTTTTTAATATTTCTTATGTCTTAAATAAGGTTTACTTCTACATTAATGGTTTACCTTAAAACTTTCCAAGACACTGGCCCAGTGTAATAAATTTAGAATCCCTTACCTAATCCCATTGCTCTTGTGAGTAGATGGTACTGAAATAGGAATGAATGTTAAACACCCTTCAGCAATATGGAGGAGGGTAGAGTGGTTTCTTGAGTTTTTTGTCCAATATATTCATATCTCTAGTATAAAGTTTTCCTAAGTCAGCATGCAGTAGGGGAAATAACCTGAAGTCTGGATTTGAATCCTGATCCTGCCATTTACTAGTAGTTATTTATTTAAGCTCACAAGGATGGCAGTGCAAGTCTGACCTTCTAACTTTAAACTACATTGACCCATCCTATTTTACATGAGTCCTCATGTGGAGCTGTAGGAAAATTGGACTTATAATCACAAGGTTGGCAATTGAAACCCACCAGCAATGCTTTGGAAACCTTATACAGGTTTTCTATGAGTGAGAATAGACTTGGCGACACTTAACAAAAATATGCCTTACGTGGTCCATATAAGAGAAAGTTTTGGACACTCTGGTCATGCTACCCTGATCTCTTTCTGTACCACTTTTGGTCACACTGTCTTTTCTATATGTGTCTAACTCCATCCCTTCTCACTTTGTCTTCCATTATTAACTTGGATTTGTCTGTCACACTAGAAGGCTGGTATTTCTTTAGTTTTTGGCTTTATACATTCTTATAGGCATACACTTCTGATACCTTCTTTCTCCATCTTCTCCTGGTATTTATGGATTACTCACCCATCTAAGACCTAGCTATTCAGAATCCATCATGGCATTTGCCAGCATCAGTCAACTCTGATCTATTCCACAGCTGTCAGAATTAGAAAATCTAATGCTCCTATTTCAGGAGTATCTGAAATAGGGATGCAGTGAGAATTAAAGATGATAATGTTTGTGACTCCTGGTGAGGAACTTTCAGATTAGCATTGGACTATGAACCACAAGTTGACATTTCAAACCCACCAGCTGTTCCTTGGAAACCATATACAGCATCTCTATGAGCTATAACCTACTAGACATCCTTCAGCAACAACAAAAATGTTTATTAAGGGCACATAACATTGTCTGGCACAAAATAGACACGCAAATGTTAATTCTTGTATTTCCTACGAGTAACAATAATGGCTACAAGCCAGCTATGCTTGGCAGCCATTATTAGAGTCAGAACTGGGTGGAATAGTAAGAGGGTAGTGAGGAAGGTAGATAATGACTTATCTCATTACTTCATTGCATGCTGCTTCTCATTAATTCTGAGATGCATTTCCTCCACAAAATGATAAATAAAAGTTGCATACCCTGTACCCATTAGCTTCACACTTGGGATGGGATAATAGTTCCGCAGACATATTGCCTTTGTTCGCCCACAGTCCCTTTCATCTGAATTGTCTCCACAATCATTTTCTCCATTGCATTCTAACTTGTTGTCAATGCAGCGGCCTAGTCAATAAAAACAAACAACATCAACAAAGAATTTATGCATTTGGAATATAGATGTTTTAAACTTTCAGGTAAATTTGATAGGAAGTTTTCATTATTTTTTATAAAAATTCAGGCACATTTGGAAATGAAGTAATAAACGGATACTTTCCTTATTGAGAATTTCAAGAATCACCTTAGAATGATTTAGTCACTATTGGGAGTTCTGGTGTGGTGTTGTTGGATAAGCACTGGACTACTAACAACAAGGCTGATGTTTCAAACCCACCAGCCATTCCTCAGAAACCCTATACAGGGTTGCTATGAGTCAGAACTGACTCCATGGATCTAAACAGCAACAACAACATTGGGCTAATTGCCTTTAAAAAGTGAAGTAATTATAGAATCCCATTTCCATTATGTTAAATTTGTTGCAGAAATCAAGATCATATTCAAGTTTACTGACCACTAAAACCTGCAAGGTCAATGGTTCAAGCTCACCAGCTGCTCCTTGGAAACCCTATACAGGGTCGCTATGGGGCGGAACCCACTTGACAGCACTTCACAACAACAACAACAACAACCACTAAAGCCGGTGATAATGAAATTGAAGAATTCTACCAACTTCTTCATTCTGAAATTGATCAAACAGACATCAAGATGTATGGGTCATTACTAGTGATTGAAATGTAGAGGTTGGAAATAGAGAGGAAGGAACAGTAATTGGAAAATATGACCTTTGTGAGAGAAACAATGCTAGAAAAAGCATGACAGAATTCTGCAAGAACATTGACATCTTCATTGGAAATACCTTTTTTTAAGCAACATAAAAAATGACTATGCACATGGATCTCACCAGATGGAATACACAGAAGTCAAACTAACTACATCTTTGGAAAGAGATGGTGGAAAAGCTCCATATCATTAGCCAAAACAAACAATCAAAAACAAAAAATACCCAGGGGTAGACTGTTTTGCTCATGAATTGTCCCTGTGCAAGTTCAAGCTGAAGCTTAAGAAAATGAAAACAAATCCATGAGAGCCAAAATTTGATGTTGAACATATCCCACCTGAATTTACAGGTCATCTGAAGAACAGTTTGAGGTATTGGGCACTAGTGACTGAAGACCAGAAGAGTTGTGTGATGATATCAAGAACATCATAGAAGAAGAAAGTAAAAGTTCATTAAGAAGACAAGAAAGAAAGAAAAGACCAAAATGGATATCAGAAGAGACTCTGAAACTTGGTTTCCAGCATAAAGACGCTAAAGCAAATGAAATAAGTGAGGAAGTAAGGGAGATGAACAGAAAATTTCAAAGAGCAGTTTGAGAAGACAAAGGCAAGAATTATATTGACATGTGCTAAGAACTGGAGTTAGAAAACCAAAAGGGAAGAACTCATTCAGCATTTCTCAAACTGAAATAACTCAAGAAAAATTTCAACCCTCAACTTAACAATAGTGAAGGATTCTATGGGCAAAATATTGAATGATGCAGAAAGTAACAAAAGACAATGGAAGAAATACAGTAAGTCACAGTACTAAAAGAAATGTTCGATGTTCAACCATCTCAAGAGGTAGCATATAATACTGAAGGAAGAAGTCAAAGGTATACTGAAAGCAGTGGAAAATGACAAGCCTCTGGTAATGGAAAAAAATATATACAAATTGAGATCTTGCAACAAACTGTTGCAGCACAACAGACACTTATTCTTACCATGAAATTTGAAAGACAGCTACCTGGTCAACTAATTGGAAGAGATTCTTATTTGTCCCCATTCCTAAGAGAGGTAACCAAATAGAATACAGAAATCAACAGATAATGTCACTAATATCACAAGCAAGCAAAATCTTGCTAAAATAATTCAAAATTGACAGCAACATTACATGAAAAGGACCTGGAAGTGGTTCAAGTCAAATTTGGACGAGGAGGTGAATGAGGGACATCATTGCAGATGTCAGATGGGCTGTGGCTGAAAGGAGAATACCAGAAAGATGTTTGTCTATGTCTTGTGGACTTGGTACTTGGAGTTGG